CCCGTTAGGACCGCGGGCCCGGTCCGGTCCGGTTCAGGCCCGGCCCACCGAGCAGCATTAAATTAAATACAAAGAAAGTGAGTGAAAATGACAGAGGAAAAAAAGATGTGTATCGAATTTGCAAATAACGGATTCCAAGACCTCTGACTCCGTAGCTTTTTTAATTCCTAGGCGACAAGCGCTAGCCATTCTTCCTCTTATCTCATGTCATTTTCAGTGTTAAATATTGGTAGGATCTCTTTTAAGTTTATGAACTAGAGTTTTAGAAATTATAATCCTAATCTTTTTGGTCTCTCAAATATAATCTTGAGCATATCTAGTTCCTTAAATGTGTTAAAGTGGAGCACATTTAATCTCACTGACACAATATATTAAAAAATTAATGGTATTACCCAACTCTAATTTATGAAGTAAATTTTCTGCTCTGAACCAAAACGTTTCCTCTCCTTTTATTGGATAACGCAAATTATCACTTTAATTCCTCATATTTAGATAATGTCTTCTAAAATTTTGACCTTGAAAATAACCCCTTTTGTGCCAGTTTTCAATAAGAAAATGACATTGTATAGCCGCTGTAAAAATAATAGTATAAAATTTGTATGTTAATATACAAAAATTATACAAATTTTAAATATTTTTTCCGCTACCATATGTAAATAGTTTCTAGCACGAGCTAAAAATAATAATACAACCTGGTTAGTCGTTTGCTTCAATAATATGCTTAGAAGTGATCCTGACAGCTCTATGTTTTTCAAATTTTAACTTTTCTTTTTGAAAAAATCAATCGATTTTTTTAATTGTATATATATACAAAAAACTATACAAATTTTATACATTTTTCGCCTATTATTTTTACAGCGGCTATACAATGTCATTTTCTCATTGAAAACTGGCACAGAAGGGGTTATTTTCAAGGTCAAAATTTTAGAATACATTATCTAAAAATGAGGAATTAAAGTGATAATTGTGTTATCCAATAAAAGGAGAGGAAACGTTTTGCTTCAGAGCAGAAGATTTGCTTCGTGAATCAGAGTTGGGTAACACCGTTAGTTTTTGAACATATTGTGTCAGTGAGACTAAAGGTACTCCACTTTAGCATACTTGTGGGACTAGATATGCTCAAAGTTATATTTGAGGGACCAAAATAGATCTACCCTAAAAAATAAGGGACAATATTTGTCAAAAACTGGAATCCATCAACTAAATTTAAGTATGTGAATAATTATTTTTGTACTCTAATTCTTACGAAAGGCCCCTTAAGAAGAAATTAAAATGAATCAAATCATTGAGATTCTTTTCTCCTCATCGCTAGCCAGTTGGGACGATATCTCTCTTGTCCTATTGGAATCGAATTTTATGTTATGATATAAGATATGTTTTGTATAACAACATTTTGCTATAACATTCAAAAGATATCGAAAAAAACAAGACTTTTATAGTAAAGTTTAGCTACAGTAATTAACAAAAATTCGATAAATATTCATATTAGTGGATTTGCACCGTACATGATCCATAAAAGATAGAATTGCACGTACCAGACTCCCAAGTTATGATATTTTCAATCTGTATCTAATTTATTAATTTTAACATGTGTAACAGTTAAAGAAGATATCATTTGATCTTTTGTAAACCAACGATCAAAATATCATAATTCGAACCGTAATATCATAAGTTTGAAATTCTACAGTCTAATTTGATTTTACTCTCTTTTGTTAAGTAAAAAAGAATTAAAATAGTTTAGGTAGCCAATTAACAAAGTACAGAAATAGCGCTAGTTGGAATATTCTAAAAATATATAGTACTAATAGTTCCATTTATTTATTATGTACCTAAATATTGTAGTCATAATGCACCCAATGTTGTAACATAGTGGTTAATCCATGAAATGTTTTGAGATCTAATATTCAAATTTTGATGGAGATAAATATATTAGGTTATTTTATTTATCTAAGTCTTGATTGATTTAATTGTCTTCGTGCAATTTCTAGATTACATATTTAAGCCATAGAAACAGTCATTAATATTTGCTTTAGGATAGACTGTGCACATCACATCCGTTAAGGTGCAATTCTTCTCTTAATACGAGATGTCTTGTCCACCGAATTATTATTTTTTTATTGTTTGAGTTATCCGATATTATATTGATAGGAGCTAATAAATATTCGATAAAATTAATCGAGATGCACTTAAACTAATTCGATTGATTATAAAAAATATATATATTGTGGTCATGAATGTCAATGACCTATATATAAGACGAGCTAATGTAATACAACAAATCCATACAACATATCAAAGAAGAATTGACAAATGAATGACATTCGCAAATTGCCTTTGTCCACACTGCACTGTCACCTTTTAGCCATTCAAAGAGGGGAGATGGCCAAAGCAGACAAGCATTTATTTACCCAAAAACAATCATATCCAAACTCCAAAGAATCAAGAAACTAATAATGCGTGCCAGAAAGCAATTTTATTAATTCCAAAATACATTCCTTTTAACAAAACAAAAATATTATGCATAAAGTTAGAGTTAATATATTAATCCTTACTAAAAATATTAAGGTTTCATTTGGTTAGTGGAACAAGAATACTAACGGTGAGATAGACTTCGAGATTATTTATTCAATGTTTGGTATGATAAAATTTAGACTAAAATAATAATAAGATTAAAATCTCATATATGTGGGGTAGCTATAATGTCCTTATCTATTCCACAAAGTAACCAAACGACCCCCTAGAGTTTAAGCTTAAAAAGCTATATCACTTAATGCATATAAGTTGGAATTCAAAGGCCTCGTTCCAAATTTCGAATTAATTAGTTTTAAGCATATTATTAACCTATATCACAATCTTTTCTTCGTACAAGTACAGTTTCATTAAAAAGTAACTCAGAAATTTATATTCTTCCTATCATCCATGAAAATGTAGAGTCCATTACCTAGACGGTCACTCAGCTTTCCGAAATTATCTACCAGCGTCATATTTCTTTCGTTTGTAACAGCAAAGTCACTTAATTATGTCTATATCACTCAAAAAGTCACTAAACCAAGATTTATCAAACTTTTAATCGCCAAATACCTATTTTACCTTTTTAAATTATCAACTTTTATCTTCTGCTTTTTTTTGCTTTTTAATATTATGATTTTTTTATCCTTTCAATCAACATTATGTACTTACCTATAGAACAAACATAATTTATTTTTTAAAAAAACTCTAGCATATATAATGTCGAAATAATAATATAATTGAGCATAATATTCAAGAATATGTAATGTCTATTACAAAAATACTTTTATTTTAAATAATTATTTTATATAGTACGTGCATGGCATATATATATATATATATATATATTCTTTCATTCTCAATTGTGTAAATAAATTTTTGAGTTTTTATTGTTAATATCAAAATTATTATTATGAACAAATTGTTCTAATTAACTTTCTATTGTGCTCAATATTTTATTATTCCAACATTGTATATGCTTAAATACTATTTTACTTTTTAAATTTATAAATAATTTTTTTTTTCTAAAGTAAGTCCATAATATAGATTTAAAGGAGAAAAAATATTATATTAAAAAGCTAAAAAATAAAAAGAAGATAAAAGTTGATAATCTAGAGGGTAAAATAGGTATTTGGCGATCAAAAATTTGAGAAATCTAGTTCAGTGATCTTCTGAGTGCTATTAGCATAGTTAAGTGACTTTGTTGTTACAAATGAAAGAAATATAACTTTGGAAGATAATTTCGGATAGTTGAGTGATCATGTGAGTAATAGACTCTGAAAATGTACATTAATTAATCATAATCAAACTATAAAAAAATAAGGAAGACACGTGTCATTATCGTTATTGTACCATCATTAGTTTGATGTTAATTCCAAGTGAGGAAAAAACAATAATCAAGATATATGTTTATTGAGATTAATGTAAACAACTCTCACTTACAATTTTTTACTATTCTCTTTTTTATTTTTTATTTTGTGTCTCTAACCAGCATTGAGGTTCAAATACGCTCTGAAAAGTCCCACTTAAAGATAGAGCGCTTGATAACTTATCAAAGATAACTTCATGTCCCGAGACATCTAATTAAGGATGAATAAGTATTTATAACTCCATTATAACTATTATAACCTTGTTATTTTTTATTTGTTTTCTTGATACCGATATGATCGATACTCCTATTAGGACCCGACTACTATCCTCTTGTGCCATCTCAGCACTTTGTTTCACAAAAACGCGGCATCACGTACGTGTTGCCACCATCTTCATAAGTT